TTTAGATCACAAAGGCATCATTTCCGGCATCGTGCAGAGTCATTATCTTCCCCTCCTCTGCACTGCGGCATCTCTGCGCCCCACACACGGCGTCCTCACTCCACGGCCGGCCGCCGCCAACTGACCCACTCGCCGGGCGCCGCGACCTGACCCGTGTCACTGCCGCGGCCTGCGCAATAGAGTCGGGGCTGGAATCCGGGGGTTCGGCCGGCCGGCCGCCTCTGGAGCGGGGGACTTTTTTAGTAGACCTACTGTACAGTATATCTAAAAAGTACGTCCCCTGGTTTGGCTCTCCCACAGGAGGCGAATCGGTAACTTGGCTGAATCCCAGTTGCGGCACCCGGCCGCCAGGGTCGCTGCTGCGCGAGCGGCCTTGACCGCTCGCATGTCATTGGCAGTTCGGTCCCTCCCCATCTATACCGAGGTGGGGAGGGGAGAAGAGGGGAAGAGAGGGGAGGGAGCGGCATCCGCTCGGCACTGGGCGATACCTGGCTGACCCCGCGCTCCCTCGCTGACCTCCGTCCTGCCCTCAGGCGAAGATCGACTTCCTCGGCCCGTAGCGGCCGAGCGGAAAACCGAGCTCGCGGGGCGCGACTCCATTGCCCCAATCTTATAAATGAAATGCTGTCGTATTCACGGCATTAGATAATGTCGTATTCACTGCATTTTACCACAGCAGTGGATGTGGTAAAATGCAGTCCAAAACAAACGGGAGCACACGATTGGTGCATAATGCGCCCTCCCATTCAAATAAGGCCGCCCACTTCAACAGATGGTGTAGTTTCTTAGGTAACAGATGCAAAACACTACCGAACTTTTTTAGTTCGGCCACTGGGACCGTTAATATACAATTGACTGAAATGCGTGAAAACCATTTTGCATTTAATAGCCGTTTTCTGCACCCAAACTTTAGCCAGTGACGCCCTGTCCATTCTAAAGCGTTCATGAGATTGGTCCCAGCACCCGATTTTAATATGAGGAAGTCGTTAAAAAAAAAACATCTTATCTCTTACTAATTTATTAATTATGGCCATTTTTACAGGACGTCTATAGAGCTTTGACTTTTACATTTCTTCGTCGTTCAGGAGCAACGTTTTAACCCTCACCAGGTTTCAGGTTTTCTGAATACCGAGGGGGCGTTGGGGGGGGTTGGAAGTGAGGGAACTTCCCTTCGCCGATTCGCCCCTAATTGAGCTAGAGCCTCACGAAAGAAACGATCGTGTCCGTCGACCGTCGTTACGAAATGCAGCGATTGGTCTCCGATTTCAAGGACTAGGGTCAGCCGATGACTTCTGAGGTCAGGTCAAGTGGTCCAAGGCACAGGTTCGGTTTTTGGTAAATAACTTCGCTAAAAATGATCGCAGATCCGCGATTTTAGCAGCATCGTGTTTGTTTAGCTCAGGCGTGTCGAATGGTATACTTTTTCTTCGGGTGAGATCAACTTAAGGTGTTAACTTTGGGTCAAGGTCAGGTCACAGCCCGTCAGGTCACGAAGCTGGTCAAATGAGGTCATATTGCATATCAATTGATTCGGCAGGTCTTTCCATGTCCATTAGTGGCTTTATCGACTCGGTAGCTTTAGTTGATCGGGAGTTATTGATAAAAAACAGATGAGCCAAAAGGGTTTTGTCTTATAAGTTGACCCTAGGGCCTCACAATGGTCTTGCCCGGAAAAATGTATATATTTTTTGTATACACTGTGCATATTTCTACTATTTGGCGCGGCTGAGCATGACAAACGTAATACCACCGAGCGGCCTTCCCCTGTGACCTTTTTGCGAGGTTAATCAAATCCCGACTTTGTTTTTCCCTGGCCATTAATGTTCTAACCTTACGGGTGATTGTTTGAGCGCGGAAGATGCTGAATCTTGGTTAACCCCATACTCACAGTGTATATAAATACAGTGGCGGCAAATGCGCTTGGTCACGTGACCAAATCTGCACGTGCGGTTGTGGCGAGGGCACTTCCCGAAACTCTGGTGCCAACGGCCTCGCGGCGCCCATAGAGAATACATGGGACCTTTTCTTTTCAGACCTATCGTGTCTAAACCAGGCAATTTAGTGCAAGGATACGACTGGTTTGAGATTCAGTCGTCTTTTGGCTATAAGTCGGCATAAGAAACGTATTTTTATCGGAAAAATTCGCAAAGTACCAGGTGGTTTTCCGATACCCTGCACGCCTCCTAACCCCCGGCGGCCGACCGGAGGAGTCAGTAGCGCTCCACTTACGACTTTTGGCGGTAGCTCAAAACACCTTACAGCTAGAGGGCTGCTATTTGGCACACCTTATCTTTGCTTCCATACGCATCTTTGGAAACCAATTGCATTTCCGTCTCAGGTCAGATCACTGACTTATGACGTCACACGTGAACCTCTGCAATAGTCCCAAAATACCGAAACTTCGCAATCCCCTCGGTGCCAGAGGAGCTGTCACAGCGAGATGATACAGGACCTAGTATCCTCTAGGAGTCTCAAAACTTGCATATCTTGGATTTCTCCTGGAGGTCACATGAGGTCAGGCCGATCGCGTGACGTCACCATTACAAGTCAATGGGTAAAATATGGAAACTGTGATTTTGACGCCGAGAATGATCCAAACCTAGCTCAAGCACATGGAATCGCAATTTCATGCACTTCTTGCAATGACCAATGCTTCACTTTTGCATCTTTAACTTAGCGGGACGTCATAGGTCGCAAGTTTTTCCGTCAATAACTCCTGATAAAATTGAACTGGCAAGTCGGAAAAGTCGCCAATGGACTCGGGAAGACCTATCGAATCGAATGATATGCGATATATTATAACCTCCTGCGACCAACTTCGTGACCTGAGTGCCTCTAACCTGACTGACCCGATGTGAACACCTTATGTTGACTCCACCTAGATAAAAGTGTACCATTTGACGCACCGGAGCATGACAAACATGATGGTACTAAAATCGCGACTCTGCGCCGTTTTTTGGCAAAGTTATTTATCAAAACCCGAAATCGTATTTTGGCCCTCGGGGCACTTGACCTGACCCTCAGAGGCCACCAGTTGACCTGAGACTTTTAAACCGTGCATCAATCGCTGCGTCCCCGGTCCCGTAACGGCACACATGCTTGTTTTTCCCGCGAGGCTAGCTCAATTAGGGCAAGGGAGTCGTACCCGCCCACTCTCGCGGTAGGTATGTAAAAAACTAATATGTCTGGTGATGATTGATGCAAGATTCTTACAGATAATGGTTGATGAAGGTAGGGTATAAGATATTAAAGATAAGTGAAACAAATTTGCGGCCCTCAGTTAGCCTTGATTTATGCATCAAGAGTTATAGAAGTTAAAACAACTGTAAGCTGTAGGCTCAGCTCTTCAGTTTCTACCTATGCCTGCAAACACAATAAACTCAATGGAAGAGTAATAATAGTTTAATTGTATTTAATTGATGCTATTCGAGTTTCAATGGTAACTATGTCACCGATAATTCAATATTATTTGTAGGGTATCATTTACTACCACACGTCTAAATATTTAGTATCTAAAATATTGCAGTAAAATAAGCTGCGCCACATCTGTCGACAAAATCTGGTGCCAACTCAAGGTCAAACGGAAAATGTGGTCACGTGACCAATGTCCGGCAGCTGCCCATACTTATCATATGATTAAGAACGTCAGTGTTAGAAAGTTAATTTGCAATTTAATTTAGGATAGTTTAATTCAACTCGGTATGAATCCGACTTGACAATTTACTAGGTGGGTTTTGCAATTCAAGTCGGTATGAATCCGACTTGACAATTTAGTAGGTGGGCTTTGCAGCGCTATTAGTTTGGCATGTAATTATAAATCATTGCTAATTTCGATCCGGATATAGTTATTCAATGCTGGCCTTTGCGTCCTCAGAAAAGTTGTTTATAATCATGAAGGCTTGCATTGACCCATACTTTCCATTTTTCAGCACCATTATTCGCCATAGTTGACCAGGTCTTTTTCTTCAGCTCTCCCCTGAATCATTTGGCTTAGACCCATGGCGTATCACCCGTGCATCACAAGACGCACCTACCACACACAAGTTCACGATCCCCACGAACCCACATCAGCGTCCGTTCGCTTGGTGTGTGACCCCTTGACCTTTGGCCGCGACAACTGCCAGCTTGCCGGAGCACCCCTCCCCACACGCGCTGTCCCGCCCGATCCCCTCCCTCTCCCCCCCCCCCCCCCCGGGGTCGTGTCACGAAGGTTCGGGCTTATCGCTACTACCGGCCGCTGCGCAGCCGTCACCTAGCGCTTGGGAATGTGTGGTCTGGTGCGGATTCAGCCAACTACCGGCTCGCGACACCAGCGCCACGTAGTGGCGACGGTACATTCTTTTTAGACATACTGTACGGTATCTGACAGTAGCGGCAGAGACTGTACACTAGGGTATATTAGAAGAATTCAAGGGAGGTATTTAAAGAATGAGGGTATAGTTTGGGTATGTTCGAAGAAAATGATCAGGGTGTTGTTTTAGACCAAAACCCCTGATATGCTTAAAAGGAATCATTTGAGGAATCATTTGAGTATCTTAAGGGCATTCCGCCAGGAAAACGGCAGAGTTATAGGAGCATGACACACCATGATCAAAGGGAATAGAGAATCGTTTTGGTTGTCAGTGATAATAACCGACAGGAAAAGAGCTTTCGTCTGTTTCAAAAGATTATGTTGCAGAGACGAGAGCTAAGAAATGCTTTCTTCGACAAGAAGCGATAGGTACTAGGCCGCTACAGATGACACATGAAAACTTGTATTTAAAGTCATATGCAGGCAAGAGCCAATTATTATTTACTCGTCCAGTTTACGGAAAACCAAGTTTTTTTTGCTAGGATGTATGTGCACCTAACACCTTCTATATTCAAAGCTGCAAGCATTGTTGTTTTCAGTCAGTTTCTAGGTTTACTTTATCATGCATTTGCACAGCAATTGCGGAATTTAATTATTCAAGCGCATCACTCCAGTACTGCTTGACAAAGACAGAGCTGATGTTTCTCACCGGCTGGAGCGGCGTCAGAGATTGCCACCCACACCGCCAGCAGCAGCAGCGGCTGCAACCAGCGCAGACGTGCCATGGTGTCTCCGGCTCACGGCAGTGGCTGTGGCTGTCCAACCGTCGACCCCGACTTTATACCGGCTCAGCCCCAGCTGTCAGCGACCCCTCGTGACCCCACCGGCGACCGGTTCCGGGTGGCACTGTCATGGCCGACAAACTGTCACGGCCGGCGGGCTGTCATCAGATGCCACCGAGACGTGACATCACGCGCTGGCAGAGAGGGCGACGGCGGAGTGATTTGATTTGTGGTGGATTGTGATCAGTATGTCATGTAGTCTGTTACAGCCGCGTCTAAGGACGTGATTTTTCCCCGCGCTTTCTGTTGCTAGGCTTTACAATAGTTCTTGAATAATGGGGCAATTTATCCAAAAAGGTTAAAACACTACGCTGCAAATTTTGTTGCTGCCCTAGCTTCAACTTTGCCCTTATCTAAAGAATGACTGCATCTATCTAGAATTCGAGCATCTTTCAAATGTAGCTGCCCGCTTGTCGCTACGTGGCCCTGGGCTCAATTTTATCAAATGCTGTGCTTCTAGTCTTCTATAAGACGTATAATATTTAAGAATTCCAGTGTTAGCAAATGCTTGCAGCTTATCTGAGTCAATGAAACAACGCCTGGGAGCGTTTGAAAAAAGATAGACTGGAAAGTGAAATGTGTGAAGGTTTTTAATTTAACAACCGATTAACCTTCCAGGCGGTGGGGGGCATTTTTTTGCCCCCCTTTAGTTTTTTCGATATATCTCGAGAACCGCCGCGCCGATCGTCACCAAACTTTCAGTACCCTCCCGGGAGTAGCTATTGCACATTGTGACACAAAATTTTCCAAAGGCTATGATAGGTTGGCTGCAAATGACGTCACAGTGACGTCATTTCTGCCATTTTCGACCAAAAAAAAAGGCTTCGCGAGAAGAGCTGTCAGGCATACAGCTTTAGAGATACAGAAAAGTGTTTCAGACATAAAAGGTGTAGTATCAAGAGGGCTACAAAACCGCCATCACGGATTTTTGATTTTTTTTTTGGATTTTGACCCCCAAAATCAAAAAATATATTTTTTGAATGTAATAGCCGAGAAATCCAAAAACTTTTTTGAATTTAAAAAAAAAACGGAATATATGTGATAGTCCCTACCGCCTTCTATCTACATACCAAATTTGAGATCGATACCTCTTTTTTGGCCAAGTTATAGCGAAAAAAATGGTTCAAAATTGATGAGGTCAAATTTTCAAACTCAATATTTAGCAATTCTAGACCTCGTAGCGCAAACGAAGACCACCATTAGACTCCCCGTGACGAGCTGCATCGAGCTGCATCGAATCAATACCCATTTTATGCAAAAATATCCACTTTGAAATTTGACCTTTTTTGACCTGACCTTGACCTGACCTCCACCAGAAAGCAGACATGGGCACGGATCCCAGACAACCAATCACGGAAATCGAGATGGCCAATAGATTGACGGTCTTCAAGCATGAAATTATGGTGGCAAACATAGCTAATAGAAGCCTCTCAATAAACCAACTATTTTGCATTCCTTCAGAGTTCACAGTTTTATGTAAATCCCTCAAGATCCATCTCGGATCCATGATTCCTGATCATGGATCCGAGATGGATCTTGAGGGATTTTCTGAAAACTGTAATCTCTGAGGGAATGCAAAATAGTTGGTTCGTTGAGAGGCATCTATTAGCCATGTTTTCCACAATAATTCCATGCTTAAAGATCACTTATCTAGTGGTCATCTTTATTTTCGTGTTTGGTCGTCTGGGATCCGCGCCCATGTCTGCCAGAAAGTGACCTAAACCGTACCTAATGGTCTTATAACCAACACCATTGAGTTGGAAATGAAAAACTGGCCATAAAACATGCATCGCACAACCTTAGTAAAGTTGGGCTCATGTGGTGACCCTTGGTGACCTTTGGTGACCTGATCTGTGACCTGACCTGGTATGACCAGTGACCTCTAATAGCAACATATGTACTAGACAACTGACGCCTTATCGCTGATTTTCGACAAAATGCGTTTTACTCGGTGATGAGTCGGTGTTATAGCGCTTTCCCTAGAAGCCCCGTGAACGGTGAAACATTTTATCTTTGACCTGACCTGTGACGTCATCGGTGACCCCGAGGTCAATGAAGTTTGGTTTCCTTCGACAAATTTGACAGGGCTATCGAACGCCGTTTGAATTTTCCGGATCCGTCCAGTAGTTTCGGAGATACGGGGGGGTGGCAAAAATGCCCCCCCCCCACCGCGCGTAAGGTGGCCGGGAGGCCCACCGCCTGCCGGGTCATTACTTTTGGGATCTCCGGAGTCTCATTATTGGTAAGACTGCAAAATGTATCTCGGGTTTGTGATCAACCCCTATGTACTACATTCATAAATCGTTCATTCATAAATCGTCATGCGTTTACGTCATGAAAGGTCATCTGAGGTCACCTGGGGTCACCCTTGACATGGACCTTTTCCAAAAAATGTTTCAACGCTATAGACGAGACATTCCTGTTGGCATCCTGATTTTTCATTCAAGCCGCTTTTTCAGAAGTAATTTACAAAAAAACTCGAGTTTTGGTTCGTTGCGCTGACCTATGAGGTCAATGGTTGGCATGATCAGTGATCACTAAAATCCACATTGCATTTCATCCTGCCCTCTGCATGTATTCGGTTTTAAGCAGTTTTAATATGTCTCAAATGAATTTCATTTATGTCACTCATAAGGCTGACTAAGGAGGTGACATTTACCTAACAAAGGGCTCGACATTGATTCAACGCTATGCACAAGAACTATCAAAATTGACGCCACCGTTTGGGTCGCAGTCGGGGGGAGAGGACAGAAACACGAGGTCACCCCACTAAGGTGGCTCGGTGCGCAGTATCCATGACCTTTTGCCCCGCGCTTTGTCAGTCTCGGGTCGGTCAGTGACGCTAGTCCGGTCTCGTCTAAAGTCATGACGTCATTACACCAAGTCTCGCTGATTTTTACGTCGTTACCGCGCCAGAGGCAGATGGAAAAAAACAATTGAGAGTGGTGTATATTTTCAGGAGGTTTGGTGAGCGTTGACATTTCAACTGACAAGGTGACAATTGACGGCGGTGCTGTAAAGGAATTGATCAATAATAGTTTGTAGCCCACGAACTAGTAAAATGCTACATAGGTACGTACGGGAGGGAGGAAGCGATTTACGATTATAGGAATCGGCGGTGTTTGATTAGATCAAATATGATATATAGATAGAAAATACAACATGTTAAAAACATTATTTCGAGTTGACCTGAGGCGTGTGAAGAAAGCGATTGGTCCGACGAGGACTGAGTTGAGTCTTTGGCAAGTTTCAGTAGCTGTTTGCTTGAACACCAGTAGGTAGTCTATCACAAAATGTCAATTAAGCAATAGGCATGACGCAGCTATATTTCTCAAATAAGCCTTTTGTTTTACTTTTCATCCACAGATCCATGGAGAAGTAAGTAGTGATATTGAATGGCCCTTATCTTACATGAGATTAAATATGATCATATATCCGACTTGCAATTTTGTCTTGAGATCCATAATAATGGATCGAACTCTCGGCTCTACGCAGATCTCTGCAGTGTCTGTATTGCCTCGTTTTTATTTAATACTTTCGACATGTCAACTGTGCGTTCTCGGAAGGAGACCGATAGGTAGGTACCCCGCTGTTCGCACCTGTTGGTAATTAGACCGGTAATGAGGATATGGCATCTGTTGTCACCAAGTGGCAGTCCGGTCTGTTCACTCAGGGGCCATTCACTGACACACGATCAAAAACGACAGAGGTCGATTAACTTCACAGACTGCTATTTCTATGAGACACTCAGTGGTGTCACTATATGAGTTCCTGTCACTCATCATAATAGAAACATGGGGTTCAATCACCATTCCTGAGGAAACAAGCCTCATTTCTTGACCTCTTTCGACTGTCGCACACGCAGTTATGCTCCCGTTCCGCACATTCAGCATTAATTAATAATTATGCAGTCTCCGAGCAGTCAACCAACCAGCACTGTGCAGTGATGTGCACTGTCAAGGAATGCTGAATAGTCATGCTGAATGCAGTCACCTAGCATCAACGGTGGTCTCGACACACTTTCCAGCTTCTTATTGGACCGTCTTATCTCCAGAAGATAGAGGTCCTATGGCTGCCTCTTCCGTTCTGTTCCACCAAGAACATCCAGCCCAGCCTGCTGCTTGACTCATTCTCGAGATAGTCGATCGCAGTCCCGGTATTACGGCATCTATGCACATCTATCGCCGTTATTCCGCCTTGTTCCTCCTCTATCCAATCTACGTTATTCCAGCACCGACGCCGACATCAGCTTCCACCATCACCTACCACTTGCCGTCGACCAGCATTCTCATCAGCTCCAAGTGCGGCATCTCGAACAGCAGCGACCAGAGGAAGGCGGCGCCGAAGCTGACCACGCTGGCCGCGATCACCACCGCCACCATCAGACTGGCGCTCGGGTAGCTCTGCGTCTCCAGGTTCGACCAAAACATGGCCAGTAGTAGCGGGTGTAGTAGATACATGCAGTACGTGAGCCGACCCAGCGGCTTGAAGAACCCCCAGCTGAGGAAGCGGTCCACGACGCCGCCGAAGCCTCGCGCACCCGAGAGGATGATCCACGCCACGCCGAGGCACCACAGAGAGCGCGCCACGCCGATGTGGACAAACACGAGCGCCCGTGGCACGAGGCCGGTGGTTGGCAGGAGACCCATCCCCAGTGCCATCAGCAGCAGCGCGATGGCTGTGGATGCGGCGGCGAGACCGCGACGTGCAGACAGTGCGTCCGAGACCCGGCGGAGGCGGGAGTCGGGCGCCGCCTCGTGCTGTAGGTGACAGAGGAGCCTCCCGAGCAGGAGGCCCAGCAGGTAGCCCACCGAACGGATGTACGGCTTGTCGTAGGTGACGTCGCGGAAGGCCTGGTTGTTGGCCGGGATCCCGGACTGCAGCACTGCCAGCATCTCGCCGACGAAGTCGTACCAGATGGCAAGCGCCAGGTTCAGTCCGGCTGCCGAGGCCATCAGGGCGGTCAGCAGGAGCGTGCCGGCGGTCACCGAGCGCTCCAGCAGCACGAGCAGCGGCGGCGTCACCAGGAACAGCTGCCACTCGACGGCCAGGTACCAGGTCTGGTCAATGCACATCTCGGCGTGCGGGAACAGGTTGTGGACGAGGAGGAGATTGCGCCACCAGAACGGATCACAGCCGGGCTCGAGGCCTGCGCGGCGGTCCGTCGGCCAGAACGGAGAGCTGCCGTAGTGCCAGCTGAGGCCGACGGCCAGCACCCAGACCACGGCCATGTGTGGGGGAGTCAGCCGCCAGTACCGCTTCACCAGCCGCTTCACCCAGAAGCCGGCGCCGCGCGGAGCGCCCGCGCCCGCCCGCGCCACGCCGCGGAAGTGATTGTAGGAGACGAGGGTGGCGCTGAGCAGGAGGAAGGTGTCCGGCACCAGCGTCGGCCCCAGGATCGTCAGTGGCCACCAGCGCAGCTCGGACAGCGTCATCATGAAGGGATGCTCCACGCTGGCCATGTTGTCACTATGCAGCAGGGTGATCCACATCACACTGAGCGCGCGGATGCCGTACATACAGCCGATGTCTCCGGGCACGGTCCGCGTGTCCAGGATTTTCGCAGCGTTGCGCCGCAGGCTGAAGGCGGTCAGAAGTCGCCTCAGGCGTCCAGACAGAGGCGGCGACCCGTCAGCGGGCGGAGCCTCCATGGCGGGCGGCTCGTCCCGCGAGGTCAGCTCGTAGTAGCGCACCATCGGGGCGCGACTGAAGGCGGGAGGCCGGCGGAGGTCCCCCCTCCCCTCCCCGGCAGGTGGACAGCCACAGGTCAGGTGGGGGTGAACACGTGAGAGTAATTACGGCAGGAACGGACAGACGGTCTGACGAGAGAGGTGGGAGGGGCGGTCCGCCCGCTGCCCAGGGGAGATAAAGGACATAGGTGCTCACTTATTTGATGGATAGGTTCATTATCCGTGATGAGCTGCTCGGTGAAGGAAAAGAGATAAAAAGCGTCGTACTTTCAACAGTGACAAGTTCAAAACTTGCACATAGGCACTAGGCTATTGCGTATTTATTTGTGTTTAACTAATTAAGTCACAAAATAAGCTATAGGTAGGTACTTACCTTATTGTCCCTGTTTCTATATAGGTATAGAAACATCTGCACCTATAGGTGCAGATTGGATGATGGCTAGAGTAAAACCATACAAGGGCGGCGCCAGCGTGGGGGCAGTGGGGGCAGACTGCCCCCACTGGCAGGAGGCCGTGGGGGCAAGACTATGTTTTTGCCCCCACAAAATTTGGCTGATGTTGAAAAGGGAACAGAAGACCGGTGCAACATTCATGATAGGCGGTTAATAACATCCCAGCCAGCCTTCCCAAGTGGGGCCCTTTATTGTTTTTACTTGCCCGTTTACTTGCTGTAAGTAAAACATGGTTTCGTTAGTAAATTTTCCTAGGGCCAGGTGGTTTGCTTCACTAACGCGGTAGATAAAACAAACAATTGATGGATATATATTAATTTTCCGGTCAAATAAATTATTATGAGTTGTGTAAAGCATGGCTATGGGAATATCACCACGATCTGATAAATGGTTGGGGTAATTGCATCCATCGTAAAATACCAACACAGCCACAGGCATATATTTATTATTACAGAAATGGGCTGCTGTGCTTATGTATTAACCCGCGCCCTGCTGGAGGGTGTTTAAACACCCTCTTGCGGTTTTCCGTGAATATCTAAAAACGGCGGCGCGGCACACTTTATCCTACATCATTTCTACATATGTTGTGAAAATTTCAGACCCAGGTCGCTCAAGGTCAGGTCACTAGGTCAGATCAAATGAACTCACTACATAAAAGGTTTCAATGTCTGCCAGAGCTATACACCGAGTGACCAAACGCTTTGAAACTTTCAGAGATTGATAAGAGCGACAAAATGTACAAAATGCATGTCTTGGAATTTTGATAGGTATCGATGACATAAGGTCAGGTCAATTTTGCGACCTCCCCATTGTAAGTCAATGGGAGAAAATTGAAAGTCGCCTTTTTAGACGGAAGTAATTATAAACACTCTAAAACACTGAATTACTAGTATATTTGAGCTTTGACACACTGAACATGAAAATGGCACCCGTGACCCCTTTTTATAACCCTGAGGTCATCTCAGGTCACCAATGGTATCTGACTGTTTTTTTGCGAATAACTTTTGATAGATGCATGCTAGAGCGATGAAAACAAGTTAGTTGTGTTTGGCTCGACGATACGGATCGACTGATATGAAGCTTAGCCCTTATCTTAGCCCTTATCAGGTCAAGGTCATGACCTTGACCTGACGCCAAATTTTCACGTTGACGTTTCAAGGTCAAGTGATAGTTCATTCGACGCGTCTTTACGAGAGGAACACAATACTGGTAAATGAAAGTTCGTGCAAATTTTGAGACAAAAGTTATTGCCGAAAACTGGTTTCCGGAAAATATCTTTATTTTGGCAGTTTTTGCCCACTGCAGGTAAAACCGTTGACGGCAGAACCGTTGACGGCATCCGGCATGATTTGTCTGAGGGCGTTTATACAACTAATTTGTCTACATAGGGCCTTCTGTTTACAGAGGACCTCCTCCTTACAGAGCCCCTGTCCCTTCCTACAGTGGGCGGTGACGCGGTTGGGAGTCTATTCTGTACAGTTTCCTGAGTTCTCAGTTCTCGCTAGAGAGTAGCAGGGACCAGAAGCCAGAAGGTAATTTGCTTACAGTGGGCCTCCACTCTATATACTTAACCCGCGCGGGGCTGGGGGGGTAAATTTTATCCCCCCCCCCCCTCGCGAATTTTTGCGATATCTCAAAAACGGCGGCGCGCAGCGCCGCCAAACTTTCAGTACCTTTTCTTACATCAATTTGACACGTTCCCTGAAAATTTGAGCGAAATCTGTCGGAAAATTTTTGAGAAATTGACGTTTTAGTGACGTCATGTTCGCCATTTTCGCCTCAAAAACGGCAAAAGTTCAAACGCCGCTAACATCTTCATTTTTAAAGGAATCAAGACGTAACAAAAAAGGTTATACGTAATTTTACTTTGTCTATCAAATGGCCATCTCGGTTTTTTGAAAATTTTGGATTTTGGCCTAAATTTTTTTTTTCAAAAAACTGACTTTTTTGGGAAAATCATTATAAAATCCAGAATTTTGAGTCTATCGAAAAAACCGGAATATATGTCAGAGAAGTGGTCTATGTGCACCTACATACCAAATTTTAGAAGAATCGGTTCAACAATGTGGGAGTTATTCAAAATTTTATGACGTCACGACACACAAATTTTTTGAAAAATGACTTTTTTGGAAGTTCTAGACCTCGTACGGAAACCAAAATAGCACCATTCGATTCGCCGTGAAAAACTGCATCAGATAGACACCTTTTTAGGCCTTAAGAACAAACTTCAAAATTTGACCTCACTTGACCTGACCTTGACCTGACCTCGACCTGAAATTCATCCAGAGGTGGTCCATATCACTTATTGAGTGTGCCTATTGAATTCTATGAATAAAATGACCCATAAAACATGTGTCGCACATGCCCTTTTCTATATTTTGTTTTTTGGTGACCTGACCTGACCTGACCTGACCTGACCTTGACCTTGACCTCTCAATGATATTGTATGCAACGAATATTGTCTTGGTAGCCTAAGAACACGTTTTGGGCGATTAGTCTCAGTCCATGACTCCATTCTTCGGCAACTACGGTGCAAGGCCGATACTGTAGAAACTTGCAATTTGTACCCTTGACCTGACCTTGACCTTGACCTCAAACTTTAAATAAAGTACATGTTTTTAGTAGTTCGTGATGAGAGCTTTCGATTGGCGTTTGAATTTTCCAAATCGGACCATTAGTTCGGGAGATAACAGGGGGGGGGGGTAAAATTTACCCCCCCCCAGCCCCGCGCGTTCGGCTGGAGACCCCAGCCCCGCGCGGGTTAATATACGACGCTGTTTTTGACTACCGGGGGCCTCCTGACCACAGAGGGCCTCTCGCCTCTTATCTACAGAGGTCCTCCTCTCTGCTGAGGGTGTCTTTCTCTTCAGAGGGCCTCCTTTGCAGAGGGCATCCTCTCTACAGAGGGCCTCCTCTCTAGTCTCTAAGTCTACAGGGACCTCCTCTCTACAGAGGGCTTCCTATCTATAAAGGGCCTCCTCTCTTCAAAGAGTCTCGTCTCTACACAGGACCTCCTCTATACAGAGGACCTCATCTCTGCAAAGGGCCTCCTCTCTTCAGAGGGCCTACATTATACAGAGGGCCTCCTACCTACAGAGGATCTACTTGCTACTGAGGAGTCTAAGGTCTTCCTCAACAGAGAGCCTCCTCTCTTCAGAGGATCTCCTCTCTACAGACTAGAGGGCCTCCTCTCTTCAAAGTGTCTTCTGGTTTCAGACGGTTTCCTCTTTACAGAAGGCCTGCTCTCTACAAAGGGCCTCCTTTTTGCAGAGGGCCTCCTCTCCACAGGGTTTCTCCTCTAAGGGCGGGCCTCCTCTCTACAGAGGGCCTCCTACCCACAGAGGGCCTCCTCTCTACTGAGGAGTCAGAGGGGCCCTAGCGGTCAGACACAGACACTAGTGGTTATTCACAGGATATGAGAAGGACCCTAGCTCATAGCTGTCAGGCTGGTGACCTGGTCAGAGGGCCCAGATTGTTCTGACGTAATTTTTTAGATTCCCGCGTGAATTTCGCTCGCCTCCGACGTGATTTTGGCCAACGTGGGCCGAAGTTGACCAGATTCCATCCGGGGGCCTCCTAAAGCCCCAAGGGAGGGGCGGGCGCCCCTTCCGCCCCCCCCCCCCTGGCTACGTCCCTGTTGGACACAACCTCGGCTAGGAGTAGGTATTCAGGAAGATGTGTGCAAAGTTTCCCTTCTCTATCTCTTCTGGTTGCGACGATATCGTCGCAGTAAAGGGGGGCAGCTGAATATGTCCCTCCCCCCCCCCACACACACACACAGCGGCCGGCGCGGCGGCTGGCGCGGAGGCCCAGCGGCCGCCGGGCCCGGGATAAGAGATAAGTGGCTGTTATGCTGCCTTGATGAACATCCGCGACTGCCGCGACATCTACTCACACGTATACCTACATGTTTGCTGCGCCCTCTAGAAAAAGTGATGTTACAAGACTAGCAGATGATTGGTGTGTTTAATTAGAGCTTACTGTACATTTAAATCTTTAAAAATATTATTTGTTCTTATATTGATTTAACTTCAATAAATATTACCTTTTAATTACAGAAATTGTTAAGATATAAGAGTACCATGATCTTTATTTCTAAAATCATCAAGATATTCACCTCTAGCTCGTCAACTTCCCTTTTTGCCCTGACGGTGGTGAGTGTCGTGCAATATTTCTGTCTTTCCGTTTTGTTTTCATTGTCATTGTCTTGAAATGTCGGTCATTGGCTTTCTTTTCAGTGGGGTTTTCACTAAGCTCTTTTTTGGACCGTTACTTAAAACATTCGGTCATTAAACGCAGTAAGAGATTAATGAAATGTTGAGGCAGGCTCATTGCTTCCCAGATCGCCGGTTCCAGCCTCGGATAACGTACGTTTGGGTCCTTTCAATGGTTATGCGAGTCACCATGCTAATCTATTATTTGTTGTGTCAGACAAATCAATCTCAACTTGACAAATCTTGTGTTGGGATAATCACAATGCCGAGGTTACGTTACGCCATGACCATGCATGACAAATCATGGAAGAGTTGGCACGTGTCCTGCGTTTGATTGTGTGTTGCGTGAGAAGTGGGTATTCATATATTTTGAGCTGAAAGGAAGTATAATGGGTCATTAACCCTATGGGACATTTATATTTAGTTGGAAAATCACTGGATGTATGGATGTTCAGTCCCTGAAAAGTTAAAATAGCCAGAATTCTCAGTACAGACAGAAGTGGCTGAACACCTTCAATTAAGAGGCACTGCCAACTTGTGGTCCCATTCTTTCCATGCAATGCCCGTAGGGCTAATGTAGAAATGCAAAAATGAAAGGGGGGCACGGTGCCCACCCCGTTCCGCCATCTATGAGTACAGATCAAAGTTCAGAGCTGTTAACTATTTTTTCAAAATCTGCAGACTGCATGCTTGCGCGATATGATAGTTGTGGCAGTTTTTGGTGCATGATGTAAATCTAAGTAATCTTAATTCTAATATGAAATATTATTTTTGCATGTTTTTCCATTAAATTATCAAAAAGTATGTACCTGTATTTCAAAGAAAAAACAGCTGCCATTTGCCAGCATATGCTTGCTAGTTTTCATGGATAGGTGAGCAAATGGGTATTAGTAAGCCTGGCTTCCCAGGAAGATGCCAGATTGGGATGACCCAGATGTATAGACCAAAACAGACCTAACCTGTTCTGACCTTACCTTACTTACAACCTACAAATCTACAAACTTACAACTCACCCTAGAAACCTGAGTAGTAGGTACTACAACCTACAAGTTACAACGGTATCTGGCATCTTCCTGGGATGCCAGGCCTAGTTATACCAGCAAATGACAGTTAACAGAAAATAGGGAGACCTTTGAAACCAATATTAAGGAAGTCCTGTGAGCTGAGAAACTGGGACAAAACACAGCTTTACAACCTGGTGAAGGTTGGTCTATAAGATAATCTTTGCCAGTTTTTCTATCAGCTTGAATTTGTCATTAGCACATTATGTATTGGTCATACATCTTGATACAGTGGAAAAATTGCTCCCCAGAGAACACTATCCAGTAGGTATCAGGCTTCGGTCTGAAGCCGATACACAACCACATAACCAAAAAATATTTGACTTACCATTGCCTGTAAGCTCTCCTAAAGCATTGCCTTTGGCACACTTCTTTGCCCCGAGTATTACTATGTAACTTGCCTCAGTTTCATAGCATCGTAGTATGTTTTCACTCAACTTTGGAGTGGAGTTGTGACATTGGGTGCATAAACGTGAAATGTATTGGATGAAAAAAATGTCCGGACAAAAATATTTTGACGGGAAAATGTCCGGACAAAAAAATGTACAGACGAAGAAATGTACCGACAAAAAAAGTCCGAGGAAAAACAGTCCGACGACAAAAATGGTGGAACGAAAAAATTTATGGAATTTTGTCCAGACACGTCTAACAGGCGTTACACTAGTGTAAATAGCTGAGCGCACGGTGATTGGTGCGAGTGATTTCACAAGTTCCTTAAATTGTCTGACTAACTCCAACCCGGAATATTATGTCCATCTTAGCGTTATTCAAATTGAGATGCAGTATTGACTGAATGCATGCCTCAAAATTGCAGCAAGCTTTGTCAAATGTCAAGGTCATTGCATTTGTCTGAACCTATAAAGACCTAGGTATGTACCTATCATACGTGCACCCTCCCTGACACATTCTCTCCCTCTTTTTCAGATAACCTCCTGCCGCCATCATGGTGCGCATGAACGCCCTCGCAGACGCGCTGAACGCCATCAACAATGCCGAGCGCCGCGGCAAGCGCCAGGTGCTGCTGCGGCCCTGCTCCAAGGTGGTGGTCCGCTTCCTCACCGTGATGATGAAGCACGGTAAGTGGCGGCGGGCAGGGTACTGGGTTGGTAGTTAGCTGGCCACTGGCTGAGGTTATTTGTTTGCTCCCGTTCATTGTTAAGTTGTTTTTACTGTTGTGTACCTTGTTTCACAGGATTTCTGACGTGTTCTGTACAAGCTTTGATCTGATCAAGTAGCCATCACTGAGTCATTGTTTTAGTTGCCCTCCCAGTGATTTGTGGATGACGGAAGTTCCGTGCCCGTCGGCATTGTGCACTTGAAAATTGCTAATTTGCTTGTAGTCTGTTAGCGTTTGAGATCTGCGTCTGCCGTCTGTTAGCGTCAGGGAAACCTGTCTTGAATAGACAATTGTGGACTTTTGGAGCTCAGATGTTACTGTTGTGTTAGATCAGCCTCCTTTCGGCCGAATATCAACCTTTCCCTGTTCGCCCTCAGGCTACATCGGTGAGTTCGAGATCATTGACGACCACCGCGCCGGCAAGATCGTAGTGAACCTGACGGGTCGGCTCAACAAGTGCGGAGTCATCTCTCCCCGCTTCGACATCAAGCTGACCGACATGGAGAAGTGGTGCAACAACCTGCTGCCCTCCAGACAGTTTGGGTGAGCGCACTGGGACGGCGGCAGGGGAGCGGCGGGCTGCGTACGGATTATGTGACAGTCTCGTCACTCGTGTCAATTAGAAAGATTCAACCAGATGCAGTGGCTAAATTCCTGGCAATTGCATTTCAAGTGTCAAGTGAAGCTCACAGTTTTGAATATTGAATGATGTCTTCAACTTTGAGCATTCAACATTGAAATATTAACTTCGAAATATTGAAGTCCAGTGAATGGCTAACGCAGTCATGCCGTAGCATGTTCCTGCACAGTCATCTATGTGTGCTGTTGTAATAACTGCATTTGCCGGAAGCAGACCGCTATTCTAGCTAGACCGACCTTCCCATTCGTGTGTGGTGTGACTGGCTGCCCTGTAGGCTGACCCGTGTCTGCGTCTCCCTTCACAGTTACATCGTGATGACCACATCGGGCGGTATCATGGACCACGACGAGGCCCGGCGGAAACATCTCGGCGGCAAGATCCTCGGCTTCTTCTTCTAAAACCGTGCCCCGCGCCATTGTGCCCTGCCTGACGTACAAATACACACAGACTGGGCGCAGTGATACGCGGCGCCGCGCCCGCGCGCGTCCCGATGGGCACACCTTACCACCAGGGGCCCTGCGCGCCGCACCGACACGAGAAGGACACAGCCGCTTACCTCCGCTGCCGTGCTGAGTCGAGCGCCAGACTGGTCTGAGTGGGACTGGTCTGGAGGGTGGCTCAGCACGGCAGATGGTACTAAATTTATACTCGGTTAAGGACAGCTGATTGAAAATTTCGTCGGAGAAAGACGATTGGAAAGCTTCCGACTCTGGTTTGGCTTTCATTTTGTTCTGTAAATATTTTTCCAGTGCGTTTTTTTTACGAACAGCTGCCCAGACTTCTATATTTCAACAGGACACCAAGTGATGTTCCTTCCTTGGCCAAGATATCAGCCTGTTGCGGTGTGTCGGTGGCGGCTCGCGGGGTCCACACCAAGTCCCGCCGGTGAGCCGCTACAGGCTCCGGCCGCGGGTGGTAAGAATGCCAGCGTCACTCCTCCGCGCAGGGGGCGGCGGTGTGGTGTGAAGGGGTGTGGCCTGGACGGACTGCGCGCGACCAGCGCCCGCTCTTTGAGTGAGAGGAGAGACGGAAACGGGAGGAACTGCGGAGAGAGTGGGAGACGAAGGGAAGGCTGTGATATGGGTAGCTGAACCGGGTGGGTGGGACGGTTAGAGCTGCTGTGATACTGGGATTTTTTACACAGTAGGTTTTTCTACAAATGGTTTATAATGAGCTGTGATATTCGTATATTTATTATTTATGAAGATGAATTATATGCCAGACATTACATGATCCACACTCTTTCGTCTCAGTCATATACATCGTGCATATTTTCTGGAGAGTTGCACAAATTTAAACAGCGACACCAATATCCAAGGCGTAACAGCAACTGGACATCACATGGTCATGGGGTCAAAATGGTTACCGCCATTTTGACCCCAAATCTCACTAACCTTAACCCAAATCATTGCATTGGTTTGAAGTGAACACGCTTTGGGATAGTGAGATCTCATTTCAACCGGCTTTGGGTTAGTGAAATTTGTCTAACACGGAAGTTTGTAAGCGTGTACAGTGTATCACTCCCACACCGGTCTCCGCATCCACTCTTATTCACTCCGCATGGATCGGGAAGCGGAACTCAACTCCGCATCACGCTTTATACAGAGCCACCGGTAGCGAGTCATTTCCGATGTGCTATGCGGATGTCAAGGTCGTTGCTGCCGGGAACCATGTGCGTGCCTGACATTGGCAGTGGCGGAGCTATGTGGGTCAGTGCTGGCGGACAACGTCCCCTGGTGGCTGCGATGTCGGCGATAGTAACCAGCTACCTATTTCTCGGATTCGGCGTATGCCCTTATGCTGAGCACACTGCATCAACACTCAACAGATTTAACCCGCGCCCTGCTGGGGGGTGTTTGAACACCCCCCCCCTTGTGGTTTTTCGTGAATATCTCAAAAACGGCGGCGCGGAGCGCCGGCGTTTTTGGTACACCTTATCATACATCAATTCTACACAGGTTGTGAAAATTTCAGACCAAGGCCATTCAAGGTCAGGTCACCAGGTCACTTGAAGTGACCTCACCTCATAAAAAGTTTCAATGTCTGTCATAGCTACACCGAGTGACCGATCGCTTTGAAACTTTCAGCGATTGCTAAGAGCAATAGCATGTACAAAATGTATATCTCAGAATTTTGATATCGATGACCTAAGGTCAGGTCAATTTTGCGACCTCCCCATTATAGGTAAGTCAATGGGAGAAAATTGAAATGCGCCTCTTTTGGACGAAAGACATTATAAACACTCCCAAACACCGAATTACAAGTGGTTTAGACACACTGAACATGAAAATAGTGTCCGTGACCCTTGTTTATGCCCTGAGGTCATCTTAGGTCACGAATGGTATCTAACAGTTTTTCGCAAATAACTTTTGATAGAGGCATGCTAGAGCGATGAAAACGCCTTAGATGTGTTCAGCTTGACGATACGGATCGACTGATATGCAACATGACCCTTTCCGGTCAGGTCATGACCTTGACCGGAGGTCAAATTTTCAAGTTGACCTTTCCAGGTCAAGTTATAGTTCATTTGATGCGTCTTGACGAGAGGAACACGATGCCGGTGAAAGTAAGCTCGTACAAGGCTTGGGTTAAAAGTTATTGCAGAAAAAACTTTCCGAAAAAATCGGCTATTTTTGCAGTTTTTGCCCCCTGCGGGCAAAACCGTTGACGTTAGGTCAAATCTGAGAGAATCACTCAGAAAGGGCGCTAATAGGGCTATCGAATGCGCTTTTCTGTGGCGCTGTAGCTCTATTGGTTCCCGAGTTATGCGTTGGCTTCTTGGAAATTTTCGACATTCGACCTGGAAATCGGCGAAATTTTGCCTTCAATGACCTCTGGTGACCTGACCTTTGACCTGACCAAAAAATTGACCGAAGTGATATCGTCATTATTTTTGACGCTCTTTCGAACGCCGCCTTTCGCGTATCGCTACGTGGCCCAGGAGCCGAGTTACAGGGGGGGGGGGGTGTTCAACCCCCCCCCCCCAGCAGGGCGTGGAAATCCAGGACCCCCAGCCGGGCGCGGGTTAAAAGCCGTTAGGCAACGATGTTGATCATAATGATCAAGACGGCCCATATTCAGCCCAGATTCGGAACACCTCCGATCAAGCTGAAATTCGTAGGTACAACACAATGTCGGTCCTGAAATGCCCAATCCACAGTCTTAGTCATTCGGCGGCACTCCCAGCCGTTTTTGACCTACAGAGTTCAGCAAAGGTCACGTGGCCCAAATTTGCATAGCAGTTTGTGGCCCACCCAGTAGAGCTAGAGCGCTAAAAATGGCACCAATCGACTCGCCAGCATCTAATCTTACTTTCCCAACACCCATTTGACCTCTCAAGGTCATGCGATGACCTAAGGTCATTTGTGGGCCATGTCGAAAATACACTTGCACAGCAGTTTTCGAGTAGAGGGATTGACAGAATTCCAAATCAAATCACATAGGCCGTAGTAACTTTCCCCGCGCCGGGCCGGGGGGGTGATTGAACCCCCCCCCCCTACCCTGCGGTTTTTCGCAGATATTTCAAAAACGGCGGCGCGGAGCGCGCCGTTTTTGGCACACTTATTCGTGCATCTTTTCCGCACATGTTGTGAAAATTTCAGACCCAGGTCGCCTTAGGTCAGGTCACCAGGGCCTCGTTTCATAAAGCTCTGCCGTAACTTACACCTTTCCGTAATTCACACTCTTTCAAACTACGGAGCGCAAATGAAGCCGTTTCACAAAGCCACAACTGGGCCTCGTTTCATAAAAGGAATTACTTACGGCGTTGCGTCAATTATGCCAGATTTGGCGTATTTGATGCCAATTCGGTTTCATAAAGCCGGAGACCGGAGTAATTCACGCCATCGAAATTACGGAGCTTCATTTACGGCAAATGCTCGATTCCGTACCAATTGATGCCATTTGGGTTTCATAAAACGACGTAATTAACGCCAAATATTTTATCAAGTTCTTGATATCAGTGGTGTACTGTAAACTACGCACAAAAATGTTGCGTGAATTTGAACTAATGTGAAGATTCGAAGCTAATTTTTAATATATTTTATAATGTTGAGCCCGGCGAGGAAGAAATAACCAAGAACAGCCAAAATGAGAAAAAGAAACTGCAAATCTTCTGTACCAGTCGCTTTTTGTGGCCACTACCGGAATTTTGTTTATTCGCCGCGCCGCGCCACTTTCGTAGTTAGGCACTTCTGCTTAGCTGGCTTTCTGCTGTGTTCAATATAATGATTTAATAAAGGATTGCCATCAATATCAATTTTGTTTTTTCATAAATAATTTTTAAGATTTAAATTAAACATAATTGTTTTATAATTTCTCGTAAAAAAGTAAGTGTTGACATGAAATTGTAATTTGTAGGACGCTTGATAAATTACGGTAACTACGCAAATGTGCTTAGTTACGGAGGTGTAAACAATTCCAGTTGTGGCTTTGTGAAACGGCTTCATTTGCGCTCCGTAATTTGAAAGGGTGTGAATTACGGAAAGGTGTAAGTTACGGCAGAGTTTTATGAAACGAGGCCCTGGAATTGTTAACACCTCCGTAACTAAGCACATTTGCCTGGTTACCGTAATTTATCAAGCGTCCTACAAATTACAATTTCATGTCAACACTTACTTTTTTACGAGAAATTATAAAACAATTATGTTTAATTTAAATCTTAAAAATTATTTATGAAAAAAACAAAATTGATATTGATGACCATTCTTTATTAAATCAATATATTGAAAACAGCAGAAAGCCAGCTAAGCACAAGTGCCTAACTACGAAAGTGGCGCGGCGCGGCGAATAAACAAAATTCCGATGGTGGCCACAAAAAGCGACTGGTACAGAAGATTTGCAGTTTGTTTTTCTCATTTTGGCTGTTCTTTCTTCCTCACCGGGCTCAACATTATAAAGTATATTAAAAATTAGCTTCGAATCTTCACATTAATTCAAATTCACGCAACATTTTTGTGCGTAGTTTACACCACTGATACCAGCATCTGCGATGCTGGGCTCCGCATCGCGGGACCGCAGGTTGTTTGAGCAAGCACCTTTGTAAACGCAGCAAAAACGCCCGCCGCCAAACGAGAGGATGAGCCTTGCACGTGCAGACCGGAGTCGGTGTGCTATCTTGAAGCGACCCCTACACGTGCGCACGTGCAGCTGCACCCCAACCGTGGCACATGAAAATACCGTCCGTTAAACGTAAACACTGACGCATTAAGACAAATATGGCGCCTTGCGGCAAGTGTGGTGTATTCATATCTGCCGTTTAGGCAGCCATCCCTCAATCAAAGCGCATCCTAATCGTCCCATGTTCGATAAAGTTACGCACATTCTGTGATTTGCGGCAAAAATGGCGCTTTGAGACAAACGTGGCGCACTGCGACAAACGTGGCGCATTCGTTCCTGTCACTTAACAATTTTATCCACCCACTAAAATCTAGCCCAATTGGACTTAAACTGACAAAG